GCTGGGCCTGGCAGTAGGGTTTCTGAAATGTCCCTGAAGAGTCAACTGTGTCGTCAGGGCTGAGAAGACTGAGCCAGAGGCAGAGACCCCTAGACAGCAAACCCTGCTCCTCAGATACAGATGACCTCAGATACCAGCAGGGAGGCAGCTGGCTTCCAGGGGAATGGGGAAGGATCCCCAGGCTTGACCTTTCAAACTGCCTGGAAGGATATGAGGACTCAGGAGAGGGACACTTTGGCTAAAGAGTCAGCATGTGTGAATGCGTGGGAGCTCTGTAGTTAGGCCCGGAGTGTAGGATTTGAGGTGGAGAGCAGGCCAGGTCAGGGTGCAGGGTGCCTTGAGGGCCAGGCTGAGGTCTGGGCTTCGTCTAAGGGCAGTGGGAATCCAGGAGGTCCCCCACTATGGGAGGAATGGCTGGGGCGTGACAGCCCAGGGAGGAGAGGAGTGAGGAACAGCAGAGCTCTGGGGAGTCTGAGGAGGAGGGTCCATGGGCAGTGGTTGGTTTGCATCAGGTCAGGGAGGGGTCAAGGAGGAGCCTGGTCTGGATGAGGTGCCAGTCCTGGGTAGGAACAGTGTGGTGGTGTCCCCTGCTGTGGGACTTGGCTGTGACCTGAGACTGCAGCTCTGGTTTTTGTCTCAGGATAGAGCTGGGCGCACGGTTGGAGTGCATGGGCCATGGTGGAGGGGTCTCGGAGTAGGTTTGCCAGCCCTCCTTCCCCCCACCTCCTGCTCCTCCTGCTGATCCCATTTCCTGGGTTGTGAAGCCCCGGTGGCCTCCTTGACCTAGTTCTGTCTGGGAGGGCCATCTGGGAGGCTACCGTTGCCGGCAGGCTACCCTCCCTGCCTCCCCAGATTGGCTGTTCTGCCTTGCTGGCCCCTTTGCCCTTTTCCCGGTGTCAGGGCCAGCTCTGTTCTCCCTTGCTGATCACACTGATTCACACTGTGTCCTGCCCCGGACTATCAGACCCAAGTCAGCTCTTCGCTTCTTCTCTCAAGTCCTAAGGCTGCAGCCCTAGGAGGCCCACTTTGCTGCCACCTGTCATCTGGTTTTGCCTGGCAGCGGGTGCACCTTCCTTGGGCAGTGGTCAGGGACCAGCCCAAGGTTGGTCGGGTGTGGATGGGAGAGGGCTGCATGGTAGTGGGCTCCCTGTGCCCCAGGCCTCTCCTTCAGCCTGTTCACATCGTCCTATGAGAGCCTGGCTGTCTCCAGCCTCAGTGTACTTCTCAGTCCAATGGGCGTCACCTGGGGCCGAACAGGAGAGGGGGTAGGGTGCAAGGAGCCAGAGGACCCCTTGCGCTAGACATCGGCCTCATTTTTCCCTTCCGTACAACAACGAGATGGGCAGGCCAGCCCCTGAAGGCCTATCTCTTGGAGACATTTTAGCTTGGTGGGTTTTATCTTTCACCTTTGACAAATTACTTACGTTGAAGGAAAATTAGAAAGTGCATTTCAGCTCCTGCCAGTCTCCTGGCCTCCTTTGCTGGTACACATCTGCTCATGTGTGGATATGCAGCTACACGCTTGTCCACTGGAGGCCACCCAGCTGGAGCTCCGACAGTGCAGCCACTCTGATCACCTTGAGGCTGGCTTCGCCCACCTCCCTGGGCTGGCTGGAAACAGGTTTCTATTTGCCCTGGAGGTGGTGACCTGCCTGTTCTGGTCTGGCCTGACCACTGCCTTTCTTTACCTCCAGGCTGCTGATCTAGGGCAGGGTGGGAAGCTGGGCCAGTTCCCCAGGTTTTGGCAACTGGAGGTTAGTCCAGGTGGTCAGGTCAGAAGAGAAGATGGCAGTTCCAGGGGTGGGGGTTCCTTAAGGTTAAGCCTGGGACCCAGCCTAAATATAGGAGTTGGGCTGAATAAATAGACTGATCAAGCGTAGAGTTCTTTGGCCCTTACTGCAGAGTTCTCTGGCTTTGGGTGGTTTGTATCTGCTATTCTTGGCATATTTGTTTCCGTCTCTACCCCTTCATCTTTTCTTCCCAACATGGCATAGTGGAAAGTCTGAACTGGGGCATCAGGCCTGCCTAAATTCGAATGGAGTGGCTATGTGACCTTGGCAAGTCTTAACCTCCCTCAGTCTTGATTTCTTCATCCATAAAATATCCACCCCCTCGGGGCTATGTAGGGATAAAGTGAGCTAAGGCACAGGCTAATCCGGTACATCGTCAACTTCGGAAAAGGACAGTCCCTGAGAATGGAGGAGCTAAGGTTCACACCTAGACCGCTGGACTCTTCAGTGCGCCCTGCTCCGAAGGCCTGCATCTATGTGGGCTGAAGCAGCAAGAACAGAAAGGCTGGGAGCCCACAGACAGTGGGGAAGGTCTGGCTGGTCCCCATGGAGTGGCATGTGGGGTCCAGCCCTTGCTGCTGTCTGACCCTGCAAAAATCGTGAAGAGTCTGGGGCTGAGCCAGTGGCCTTTCTTTGGGGGCTGCGGGCCTAGGTCTATTTGCATGGCTGCTATAAATAGTAGCACACCTTGCTTTTGTGCAGCTGTCTCACCCCTCGCCTTTCCTTTACTGCTCAGACACTGCCAGGTAGGTGGGTGGGCTCAGACTGCATTGTACAGAGAGAGCGCCCATGGGCCAGAGGGGGTCACACAGTGGTAGAAGCAGTTGCCAGCTCATGGGATCTATCTCTTCCTGGGGTCTCGGTGGTCCAATTGAGGGCCAAGGGCTAGAAGTGTCAGACTAAACCCTTTGCCTTAATTTTAATCCTAGGAAGCTGGAGCTAAGTGATCCTGCCCTAGGGTTACTGCCGGGTAGCCCCGTGGTGCCCCACGAAGACCACGGATCCCCTGTGCTCATGGTACTGTGGCCTGGCCATGCAGGTTTAGGGGTAGGGCCCTGCCTAGTAACCAAACTGTGGTTGTGGTTTTCCTTCCAGTGGCTTCTGTAAGCAGCAGTTGCTAAGTGTGAGTCCAAGGGCGGGCCTAGGAGCCTGACCCTGGGCCCTACCTCATTCTCCCAAGTTTTTCCTGTCTCCTCTGTGCAGCCCTGGGTCCCCGTGTATAGCTCCTGCTGGGCAAGCTGGGGGCAGAGTAAGCCACTGCTTGGCCCCATGGTGAAGTGTCGGGGAGAAGTGGGCCAGCCTGGTTACAGAGTGCTGGATGCCCTGTGTTCCTTCAGATTTGAGTTTCCTGACAAATGGGTCGATAACCAGTACTGTGTCCCTAGCCTCGTGGACAGGTGGAAGAGATGCCAAGTGCACGTTCAGGACTATGAGAGAGGTGCGCGGGGGAGCAGCCGCAGGAGGGCAAGGTATCCTTCCTGCTTGGGAGTTTAGGACTCCCACCTGGACTCCTGCACATAGGGCCAGGCCCACGCAGCCTCACACCTTCAGCTGAGCTCCTGCCATGTGCCACCACCTACTCCCATGGCCTCACAGGTGCACACATTTCTGTGGGTGTGTAAGTCACACTCACAGAGCTCCATCACACCACGTGCATCCTCACGCATGCTGCAGCCCAGAGACGAGCCCGCACGGCCCACTGCTGGCTCTCCCTCTTGGCCCACCAAGAGAATGTGGGTGGCTGTCCCAGTACCTCATACTCTCCCACCTTCTGGGCTCAGGCCAGAGGCTTTGGGGCTGGGCGTAGGCATGAGCTTGTGCACCTTCTGTCACTCCCGCTGGGTAGGAACCAGGTCCTCGCAGGGGGCATGGTGGGATCTGTCCTGCCTGATTCCTTCCCTCTGTTCTGGTCGCTGGCCTCAGAGGACTGGCTTTGCCACAGGGCCGGGCTGCAGGGTGAGGTCAGTGTTTCCTGTGAGCTCATCTGGGCTGGGAGCTTCCAGCAGACCTGGCCCCTTGCTCTGGCTGCCTTGCACAGGACTGGAGGGAGCTCTCCCAGGGGCTGGGCAGCTGTGGTGTGTGCGTGCCTGTGTGGGTGGGTGAGGGCGTGTGCCTGAGTCTGCCCCAAGCATCCAGCTCGTGTTCCAGGTTGAATGTGTGCATGTGTGTGTGCAGGAACACAAGGGAACATTCATTCGACCGTGGTTGTGGAGGACCCTTGTGTGTGGCTTGGGGCTGGAGCTCATCTATGTAGGAGTAGGAGTGTGTGCATGTGGCTTGCCGCAAGTGTCCTGTATAAATAGCAACCCAAGAAGACACTTGGGGTCACCTCCTGTGACTCTTGACTTGGGGAACAGCAAAGAAGCGGGGAGCATGGAAGCTGACTCGTGTGAATGTGCAAAGTCCGTTCATTGTTACGTTCAACATTAAAGTACAGTTTTATATTTGGGCAGAAAATCAGTTGGAAAGTGCGAGCAACTTTTCCAGGTAGCAGAAGGTGCGCGCCTCCCCGGGGCTTGAGTTCAGGAGGGCCAGGAGCGCTGCTGTGGGCAGGCAGAGCCTCTCACGGCCCCTGTTCCACAGCAAGGTGGGCGCTAAGTTAGCGGGATCTCACTTTCGGTTCTGGCTCAGGCTTCGCTTCAGTTTCCCCTTCTGAGGGGCGTGGTGCTCGCCCCGCTTGTCTCCCTCATAGTTAGGAGCGAACAGAACCCAGAGGGCTGCGTGGGGCAGGACAGGAAGGAGCGAAGGGAACTGTCCTGCCCTCTTGGTGGGCGACTGCCGGCACTGAGGCGTGGAGACCCAGCACATACTGGGCCCCTGGCACCCGGGGTAGGTGCCCCGCAGTTGGCTGCTGAGGGAGCCACCGGGTGACTCCCCAGATTAGCGTCTTAGGGCCCAGTTTTAGAGAAGAACGAAGACATGCCCTGGCCTGGGGTAGATTGACAAAGAGGCAGCCATCCCAGTGGCTGTTGTCCAGCGGGCCCCGTGTCACATCTTCTGGTTTTACCAGGGCTGCCAAAGGCCAGACTTAAATAAAATTTCCCAGCTTGTAACACTGGCCGCTAGGATTAGTGCACTTTATGCACCACACGGGCCAGATTCAACAGAGAGAGTGCCCTGCGGCACCTGGGGAAATGAATGCTCGCCTGGCTGCCCTGCTGTGAGCCCCTGCTCTTGGCCTCACCCCGTCTGTGCACAACCCTGCTCTAGGCCCCACCATGGCACCATTCCTGCGCATCGCCTTCAACTCCTACGAGCTGGGCTCCCTGCAGACGGAGGATGAGGCGAGCCAGCCTTTCTGCGCCGTGAAGATGAAGGAGGCGCTCAGCACAGGTAAGGCCGGGCGCTGCACCCTGAAGAGGGCTGTGGGCTCGGCAGGCAGGGCTGGAGGGGACCTCGCCTTGCTCTTTAGGCCCCTGAAGGGTCCTTCTCTTCCTTGTCACCCTACCCTCCCTGCCCTACACAAGTGCGGACTCAGGAAAGCAGAGGCCACTGAGCTTTATAGGGTCTCAAGTTGAGCCCCTCCGGCCTTGGATTTTCAGGCTGCATTGTTTGACCTGGCATTTTCCACATGTCCATCTGAACCCAGCTCTGTGCTGGGTACCAAGGATATGGCCATGCTTGGAGACCCGGCCCTGCCCTCCTGGGGCTCATACTCAGCCAGGGAAGCCGAACATGTCAGCAGGCAGTGAGTTCTGTGGTGAGGAAGCCCGCAGAGGGCACCGTGCCCGCTGATGGTGGGAAGGACTTCCCAGAAGAGGCGCATTCTCACTACTCCCTCGTGCTTCTGCCTTACCTGCCAGCCCCTGCCCACCACTTGAGGCCAGCCAAATGGACCCTTAGGCTAGGTCAGGCACTGGTTTTGACTCTTCAGTCTCATCACAGCCGTGACTTAGTGGTTATTGAGGGTCTGTGGTTATTGAGGTTATTGAGTGGTTATTGAGGGTCTGTGTCTCTGACTAGAACCTGGGCTGAGAAGGACAGGCACTGTGTATGACTTTTATCTCTGCCATGTTCCTCACATCCAGCTGTGGCTGGCATCTGGCAGCTCTCAGCATGTGTTCACTGAGTGAGTGCGTGGGGAAGGGGAGATTTAAATGGAGCTAGAGCGGTAGGGGTGAACCTAATATCTAAGACAAGAGATACTAATGGCTAAGTTGTTTTTTTCTAAACTAAAACCTCAGCATTCAGGTTTAATTGCAGTGTTCGCACTTTGTGATAAATAAATGGGTTTTGGGTTGCAGTTTGTGTGCTCATCTCTAAGAGGTCCACCATCACTGAGCTAGAACAGAAAAGTCGTGCCAGATGTGGTGCACACCTATAATCCCAGCACTCAGGAGGCTGAGCAGGAGGATCGTTGTTTGTGAGTTCGAGACCAGCCTGGGCCGCAAAGTGAGCTCAAGGCCAGCCTGAGTTGCATAGTGAGACCCTGTCTCAAAAAAAAGAAAGAAAGAAAAAAGAACAGAAAGGTCATGAGAGAAGAAAGAACAAGAGCAAAGATGTAGGACACGCCCTGCAGAAGACCCTTGGAGCAGGAGAGGCAGGCAGATCCCACGGGGCTGAAGGCTGGGAGGGAGGGACAGAGGGGCCCTAGGCTGACCTTGCCTGCCTGGCCCTGTTGCAGAGCGAGGGAAGACGTTGGTGCAGAAGAAGCCGACCATGTACCCTGAGTGGAAGTCAACGTTTGACGCCCACATCTACGAGGGCCGTGTCATCCAGATTGTGCTGATGCGGGCAGCCGAGGACCCTGTGTCTGAGGTGACCGTGGGCGTGTCGGTGCTGGCGGAGCGCTGCAAGAAGAACAACGGCAAGGCTGAGTTCTGGGTGAGGGGCACAGTGGGCAGGGGACGCGGGAAGGGCACCAGCCAGGCTCAGATCCTGGATCTGGGATCTTCCAGGTCCCCAGCGTCTGTGAACCTCTTTGCACTTGTCTGAGAAGAGGGGCTGTTGGAAGCCTCTGCCTCAGGGTCTGTGAGGTGAAGCGAGCCCCTGCATGTCAAGGACATACTGCAGAGCCTGACACGCAGTGGGTGCTAAAGGAAGCCGTCTCCATTGCTGCAACTACTTTTTGTCCCTTTACTTTTGAAAAGGCAGGATGTTACATCATAAAATAGTTCAAACTAGATAAAAGGCTGTGTGCTTGCCCCAGTACCAGCGCTCTCCTCAGAGGTACCGATTGTTCTGCTTCTCTGTGAAATCTTACCCAGTGTTCCGGGTCCAGGCAGGCATGCGAAACAACATCATGATTTTTAGCAGCGCAGGGGTGGGAGAAGGCGAAGGAGAAGGGTGGCTGGCCTGCACACAGCTGGGGCCATATGGCCACCTGGCCACGTGCATCTGTGGTGGGGTCCTAGGGAACCACAGGGCGCCAGCCTTGACGGAACTCCCCAGGTTACCTGTGGGCTCCTGTGACCGGCAGAGACCCTGTCAGCCTTCAGTGGACCAGCACTGCAGAGAGCTTGACACAGGGTCCCTGCTGTGTGCTCTCCCTCTGCCCCAGGGAGGAGGTCCATCGCAGGTCTGGGTCCTGGGGGAGCAGGGGTGCGGGTGGGGACTTTCCCTTCCTGTTCTGTTCCTGGGCCCAGCGGCCTGGCTGGATGTGGGCTGGACCCTTTCACTTCCCCAAATGTAATAATACCCCTGGGCCAGGGTGGGGGCGGGGCCCTGATGCAGGGTGGGGGCGGGGCTGGGCGGGGCCCTGCCCATATGGGGCAGCTAGGTGCCTGTCCAGGCTTTAGGGGCTTCCTTGGCCTTGGGGGACAACCATGGGGGCGGGTTCTGTGCCTGATCAGGCCCAGGCCCGCCCTCGCTGACCTTGTTGTTCCCCGTCCTACCCTCACAGCTGGACCTGCAGCCTGAGGCCAAGGTGTTGATGTCTGTACAGTACTTCCTGGAGGACGGAGGTAAGTCTCCACAGGGCTCAGCTCCTGGGCTTAGGGAAACAACCCCCGTTCAGGTCTGTGGGGTGCTGCCCCTCCCAGGCACCGGGGCTGACTGTATTTCTCCGACCTTCCTCAGACTGCAAACAGTCAATGCGCAGTGAGGAGGACACCAAGTTCCCAACGATGAACCGTCGAGGAGCCATCAAACAGGCCAAGATCCACTACATCAAGGACCACGAGTTCATCGCCACCTTCTTCGGGCAGCCCACCTTCTGTTCCGTGTGCAAAGAGTTTGTCTGGTGAGAGCTGGCTATGACCGCTGTGGGTGACGCAGGGTCCGAGGCCCAGTCCTGGAGCCCTCCTCGCTCACCCCGCCTGGCACTTTCCTTCTAGGGGCCTCAACAAGCAGGGCTACAAGTGCAGGCGTAAGTACCTCCGCGGCCCGGTGCGTGCTCAAGGGTGCCAGTGCGAGTCCCTGGGTTGGTGTGATGCGTCTGGACGTGGGTCTGTGTGTGTGAATGTGTGCGTGTGAGTGCTTCCCCCTCAGAGCGGGGGTGTGGGGATAGGAGCTGCCTGAGTGAGTGCGGGCCGCCTTGCTCCAGCTTGCCGAGGCCAGTCCCAGGCGTCCCTTCCCAGCCCCGTGCGCAGGCACGTCAGGTTAGGGGCCCAGAATAGGCTGTGTACGCTGGCGTGTACACGGGAACCAGCCAAGGCCAGGACTGGGGCTCTTTTCCCTGAGAGGCGGCTCTGAGACCTTTCCTAGCACTCCCCCAGCCACACACGCGTGAGCGTGGATGTGTGGTCTCTGGCGCGCAGGTTGAGCGCCCCTTCCTCTGGGTGGTTTGAGCACAGGCTGCTGTACCACTTCCTAGCGGCGGGGCCTTTGGCAAGCTACTTTAACCCTCTGTGCCTCAGTTTCCTTGTGCATAAACTAGGGCTAAGATGCAGTGATACTGAAGATGCAGTGGATATGTAAAGCTGTATTTTAAGTGCCTAAGCATTAAAACACTTAACTGTGGTAGGAGTTCAATATAAGAAGTTTCTCACACGCTTTGTATGCATGTGTGGTGTCTTTGTGTTGGTGTGTGTTGGTGTGCATGTGTGAGAGTGAGCGTAGGCGGTGTTTGCTCTCCTGGGACGTAGAAGTGTAAAAGGGGGGAGCTCAGGTATGGTGGTACACACCTGTAATCCCAGTACTCTGGGAGGCTGAGGCAGGAGAATCGCAAGTGTGAGCCCAGTCTAGGCAAGTTAGTGACTTAGGGAGAGCCTGTCTTAAAATAAAAACATAAACAGGGGCTGGGGGTGTGGCTCAGTGCGGAGCCTTGGATGCAGTCCTCAGTACCGCGGGAAGAGGAAGGCTTTCCTGCCCATTTGCGTGCCTCACTTCTGCCCACCGCCCTGCCCACTAGGGCGCCATGAACCTCCCCTCATTTCTGAAACTGCCGCCTGGCCCGTCTCCCTTGCCCCATCCTCTCCTCGGCTCCTCCTCGAAGGCTGGTGGGAGGAGCAAGAATCAAGCCCTGGGCCAAGGCCTCCGTGGGTGGGGGTGTGGGCGGTTAAGGAGAAGGCTGGCTTTGTGCAGAGGGCCGGACGGGGTCAGCGGGCACCGGCTCACAGACTCTGCCCTTCCCCGTGCCCCCCATCCCCGCTCTCGGCAAGAATGCAACGCCGCCATCCACAAGAAATGCATCGACAAGATCATCGGCCGGTGCACCGGCACTGCCACCAACAGCCGGCACACCATAGTGAGCTGGGCCAGGGCAGGGTCTGGGGGACGCAGGGGCTTGGACAGATGGGAGGGCCTGGGCTCTCCCCGCCCCGTCCCTGTGGGGCTCACCCTCCCTCCCCGTCTTTCTCAGGCTTCCTTGCCTCCCGCCTGGGCTCCTTGGGCCTCTCGTAGTCCGTGGGGTTGGGGAGAGTTCGGGGGTGAGGAAGGGTTGGAGCTGGCACGTGACCTGCGATCCCCTCCCCTCCAGTTCCAGAAGGAACGCTTCAACATCGACATGCCGCATCGGTTCAAGGTGTACAACTACATGAGCCCCACCTTCTGTGACCACTGTGGCAGCCTGCTATGGGGGCTGGTGAAGCAGGGATTAAAGTGTGAAGGTGGGTGCCGCCCCCGCTCCCTGTGAGCCCCAGCCGGCCTGTGTCTAACCCCTGCGCTCCGGGGTATCTCACGTGGTGATTTACCGGCTACACGGCCACCAGGCAGGAGGCTCCGTGCCTCTGAGCTGTGTCCTCGGGTTTAAAAATGGGGAAAAGTAGGACGCAGAGAGTCGCTGTGAGGGGCAGGTAGGCAGCAGGTACTCAGTAGATGCCTGGTGTCCAGCAGAGGCGGCTCCCAGACCTCCTTTACTGAGGAGAAGCCAACTACCCTGGGGAGGGGCTTCAGGGTCTTGGTTGTCCCAGCAGTCTTTAAGGCATTTAGAGTTAGGTCCCAGGTCTTCTGATTTTTTTTTCTGTTTTTAAATCATAAAATACTTGAAATGCTTATGCTGGCTTCAGATATTTTTTCTCTAAAGACAGGGATCCCAGGAGCCCCCCCCCCTTTTTTTTTTTTTTTTGGTCTTTTTGAGACAAGGTTTCGCTATGTACTTCAGGCTGGCCTTGAGCTCACTTTGTAGCCCAGGCTGGTCTCGAACTCACAACGATCCTCCTGACTCAGCCTCCTGAGTGCTGGGATTACAGGCATGTGCCAGCATGCCCAGCAGGAGTCCCTTTTCTCCTGCTCCCTTCCCCGTTTGTCCTTGACATGGCTGAGCCCCCAGACCGGTCCTGCTTCTCTCTCACGCAGACTGCGGCATGAACGTACACCACAAATGCCGGGAGAAAGTGGCCAACCTCTGCGGCATCAACCAGAAGCTCTTGGCCGAGGCCTTGAACCAAGTCAGCCAGGTGGGCAGGGGTTGTGGGACCCTGTGAACAAGGCGGCGGGGTCAGGGTGGTCAGGCTCCCAGCACTCTTGGGGACCCTCAGTGTGGGGATTTATACCCAGACCTCATTTCTGGAAGAGCTAATCAAAAAATTTAGGGAGTGGAGGGAAGTGGGCTTGTTCTCATAAGAAATTTCTTGTACAAGCCGTCCTTTGCCTGCGGGTGAGTCTGAAGGATGGCAGAGTTGGCTGTTGGAACAGTTTGAACTAACACTCTGTGTGTGTGTGTGTGTGTGTGTGTGTGTGTGTGTGTGTGTGTGTGGCTTGAGGGATGCATAACACTTTAGGGTAAAATTTTAGAATCAGTCAAATAAAGTTAGGGTAGAACTTTATTAAGTGGTTAAGAAGGCAGGATTCAGTGTACAAAATTTCTATGTCTGTCCCTGCGTCCACACCGTCAGGACTTCCCTGTGTTTCACTGGGGGGCACACGCACCACATGTGGGTCCCGGGCGCTGCCTGTGCCGTCTGCTCTCGGTGTTACAGGGGGAGTCAGGGCTGGGGACTCCTCTTCCTGGGCTGGGAGTTCTGGTAATGATCTCACATCCGACCCCCATTCCTCTGTGACCTTTCTAGAGATCTTCCCGGAAGCAGGAGTCGGAGCCTGTTGGGATATACCAGGGTTTTGAGAAGAAGCCAGAAGTCCCTGGGGAGGATACCGCAGGTGAAGCTGAGTCCAAATCCCCCACTAAAGCTCCCATTTCCCAGCAGGGCACGGACACAGGCCCATCGAGTGAGTGCTGGGAAGAGGTACACCCAGGGGGAGTAGGACCTGTCCGTTCCCAGGCCTCTTCCCCCCCGCCCCCACCCCACCGGCCCCTAGGCTCTGGGGAAAGGAGTGGTGGCCACTGACAGCCTAGTCAGAGGCATCTTCTCTTGAGCAGACAACGGGACCTACGGCAAGATCTGGGAGGGCAGCACCATGTGCACGATTGAGAACTTCACCTTCCACAAGGTCCTGGGCAAAGGCAGCTTTGGGAAGGTGAGGGGCTGTGAGGCTCTGGGGAACCCAGGGGCGCAGGGCACCTGCTTTCTGCTGCACCCTGGCTGCTTCCTGGTTGAGTGGCAGGGGTGCGCATCTGTGGGCGGGCCGCGGCCTTTGCCTTGGCCTGCCCGCTCAGCATCCCACCCACTGGCAGGTACTGCTTGCAGAGCTCAAGGGCAAAGGACGGTTCTTCGCTATCAAGGCCCTCAAGAAGGACGTGGTGCTGATCGACGATGACGTGGAGTGCACCATGGTGGAGAAGCGGGTGCTGGCACTCGCCTGGGAGAATCCCTTCCTCACCCACCTCTTCTGCACCTTCCAGACCAAGGTGCCTGGCCCCCCAGTGTTGTGGTCCATGTGCCCCCTTGGAGTCCCCAAGGCAGGGCCGTGTCCTCCTCCCTCGTGCCTCCCAGGGCGGGACTGTCCCCCTCAGCCTAGGGTTTCCTGTTGGGGCTCTGCCCATGGCCTCAGCAGAGGAGCCTCCTCCGGACCCTCAGCCTCTGCTCACTGCCGTCCCACCCCAGGAGCACCTGTTCTTTGTGATGGAGTTCCTCAACGGAGGAGACCTGATGTTCCACATCCAGGACAAAGGCCGCTTCGAACTCTACCGTGCCACGTACTTCTGGGCCCTGTGGAGGGGAGGGAGGGATGCCGAAAGGGAAGCCGGCCCAGGCCACGGCTGGAGTTGAAGAGACTGGGGGTGGCCGGGGTCCCTGCACCGTGCAGGAAGCCATGGTGATGAGAGTGCTGGCTGCGGGAACAGTGCGGTCATGCTGGGGCCTGTCGGTGCCTTGGGCCTCAGCCAGAGCAGTCTTGCGCATAGTGGTCCTGTGTAACAGCAGACCCCGGTGTGAGGCTGCAGACTGGCATTGTGATGCTTCTCCCCGTCGGCCTGCCCCACACGCACTGTGTGTGTGTACAGCGTCCACGTACATCACACACACTCACGGCAGAGAATCAACTTATTTGGAGCTTTCCCTTCAAAATGTTCTGCCTGGGGCACCGGCCCCTACTTGTCCAATACAAGGGTGTGGCTGATCAGGCCCAGGTTATGCACAGCATTTCCTGCCCCCGGGGTTGGGGTAGAGTGAAAGCCCGTGAAGGCCAGTGATGGGCAGAAGTTCTGGGACTCACTCTGTCTCTCTTACTCAGGTTTTACGCAGCTGAGATCATCTGTGGATTGCAGTTTTTACACAACAAAGGAATCATTTACAGGTACTGGTGCTGGGGCCTTGGGGGCCCCTGGGAGGGGTAGTACCAACCCTGCAGCTGTTTCCTGATGTGCTCCGAAGAGCTCTGGCCTAGCCACAGCTCCATCACTGCTGGGAGTAAGCGGTTAGCTGGGTATTTCTCTAAACCCCCGCCCCAGTGCAGCGGAGGCTGGCATAGCTCAGGACCTACGAACTGCTGCCCATACTCAGGGCCATTCCTGGGGAGGACAGCACCGGCAGCTGCGGCGTCTCCCTGCCTTGGGCCTGTTGGTCTCACTCTGAAACTTCATCTGATCAATCTAATTTTCATCTAATAAGTGGTGGTCTTGTTCTATGGTAGACTGCTATACACCCGTCAAAAAGACTGAGACCATATCTGTCTGTTGCTGGCAGTTACACTGTGAAGTAGAAAATCAGTCAGTGGGATAGTATATAGCAAATATTAGCACTCAGGTTTTGAAAGGTGGGGTGAAATACACTGTGATTTTCCATGCTTAGGATCGGTGTGGGGAGTACTTGGTTGCTGAGCTTAACAGAAGATGCACTTTACCTTTTTTGCTCCTTTCTAGTACTTGTTCGCATGTGCATAGATTATCTGCTCAAGGGACTAAGGGCAGAAATCGATGTGATCCCAGCCCTGTGGAGTCAGACAAATTTGAGCCCTGGCGGTCTGCCACTGACTAGCGAGGTGACCCGGGGCATGCGACATTACCTTTCTGGAGCTTACTTTTGGCTTCAGGGAGTAGGATGTGCGTCCAGCACTCAGCACACAGTAGGCAGCTTGGAGGAAGCGCTGGTGTGAGCACTTCCTTCCTCCTCTGCTCCCCTCCCTTGCTCATCCCCTCATAGTCATAGGGAAAGTCCTGAGCAACAGGCCCAGGGGGACACGGCTGGGAAAAGAGGCATTGCCTCTGATGACTCTGTCGTGACCTCTGTCCCCAGGGACCTCAAGCTGGATAATGTAATGCTGGACCGGGAGGGCCACATCAAGATAGCTGACTTTGGCATGTGCAAGGAGAACATATTCGGGGAGAACCGAGCCAGCACTTTCTGTGGGACCCCTGACTACATCGCCCCTGAGGTGAGTGAATGCCTGTCAGTTCCTGAACGGCCAGCCCAGGCCAGGCCAGGCAGGCTCCTGAGGATGCAGGGGGCCCTGGCCCCGCCGCCGTCAGTGCTGGCACCCTACCTCTGACTGCTGCTCCCCTCCAGATTCTGCAGGGCCTGAAGTACACATTCTCCGTGGACTGGTGGTCCTTCGGGGTCCTCCTCTATGAGATGCTCATTGGTCAGTCCCCCTTCCACGGCGATGATGAGGACGAGCTCTTTGAGTCCATCCGTGTGGACACGCCACATTATCCCCGCTGGATCACCAAGGAGTCCAAGGACATCCTGGAGAAGGTGGGAGCCCTGGGCTGGGCAGGGCCAGGCCTGGTGCACGCTGGTCTGCAGGAGGGCAGCGGCTCTTTGTCCCTGGCCTGTCGAGGGCATTACTCCCCCACCACGTGCCTGGGGCTCCAGGCCGAGTCCTGTGGGTGGAAACAGCTTGGCGTGTGACTAAGAGCTCAGGGTCAGGAGATAGACAGACCGGACGCTCTGCCTGTGACTAGCTGGCAATCTCGGGCAGACCGTTTGCCCTCCCTCTCTAAGCCCGTCTCCTTATCTGCAGAGCACGGTTGAGACCTGCCCCACAGTTTTTGGGAAGTAAATATAAGCCTGTGATGCTCAGTTCTGTGGCAGGCAGATGGTAAATCTCAAAAAATGGCACTGCTTTTACGCAGGCCCCACCAGCCAGGGCCTGTGATCTCTGGGTACCTGGGAGCACCACAGGCTGGAGGGGTCCCCCTGGAGTTCCCTGGGCTGTGTCCTTAGCTTGGCCAGGCCTGCCTTGGCACCCCGAGGCCCAGGGCCGTTGGCTGATGCTCTAGCCTCCCGTGGCCTTTGTGTGCTAACCAGCGCCTCTGCTGGGTTGCAGCTCTTTGAAAGGGACCCGGCCAAGAGGCTGGGAATGACAGGAAACATCAAAATCCACCCCTTCTTCAAGACCATCAACTGGACTCTGCTGGAGAAGCGGAGGGTGGAGCCACCCTTCAAGCCCAAAGTGGTATGTGCTTCCCGCGCCTGCGCGTGCCCCCCACCCCCGCTTGTCTCCTGCACCTCCACACACCTCCTGTGCCCCTCCCAGCGGACACGGCCCGACCCCCCAGCACGCTCAGCCGTCTCCGCCCTTGTGTTTCCATCCTTGCTCCTCCTTCACTCAGGGAACACTGCGAACTAGGGATCCGGCCCCGACTGTCTAGTTTCGGTTTTTGTTTTTCAAGAAATGGGGTCTTGCTCTGTCGCCCAGGCTGGTCTTGAACTCCCGGGCTCAAGTGACCCTCCCACCTCAGCCTCCCGCATGCTGGGACTACAGTGCCTGCCGCAGCACCCAGCTGGCAAGCACCTCTTCTCCTCCACTTCCCTGGCACGCACTGTGTTGGGGTTGGTGCTCGGGGCATCAGAGTTAGAGCCTCACTCCCTCTTCCCCACCCCCATCCAGTGCATCTTCCAGTGTGTGTTGGAAACGTGATCTCCCTTGGGGGGGTGTGTGTGTGTGTGTGTGTGTGTGTGTGTGGGTGTGCCCGTGCGCCAAGCCTGGTGCACTGGGAAACAGTCCCAGAGCTGCAGGAACCCAAATAGGAAACTTGCACACGGGGGATGAGCTGGGATGCAAGACAGCAGTGTGAGGCGTCTCAGGCCACATTCGGGTCATTTGCCTTGGGAGGGCTTGTCAGCAGGAGCCCCTGGTGCGGGACTAGAGTGGCGTGAGAGGCCCCTTGGCAGCAGGGCTGGGGCAGGTGGGGCCGGGGCGGGCGGCTGGGGGTCTCCCACCAAAGCCCGGAATCTAGAGGCCTCCAGGGAAGTGTGAGAGGAGGCAGGTTGGAGCCACTCAGAAGCTGAGGCTCTGGCCCCTCTGTGAGCCCAGTTCCTCCTCCCACTCCCTGTCTCTCCCCTGCCTCCCCTCATCTGCCAGGACACACTGTTCCCTTCTGGAAGCCTCTGTCATGTGCCCTACATTTGTGCTTTGAGGCTACAGAGCGCTTCCCCTACTGGGCCTCCTGAGCTGGGCAAAGCATTAACGGGCGGCCCAGCTGCAGAAAAGCACCGGGGGTTCAGGCTCTCTCTGCTCTTAGACCGCTTTCTTCCTCTGGACTGAGAAACATAAAGCAAGTGTGGTGATGAGCAGCCCCTGGCAGTGGATGGAGGGGCCTGTGGTGAGTGGCTCCGGATGGAAGTGTAGCTCAGTCAGGGTGCTCATCCAGCATACAAAAGGCCTGGGCTTGATCGCTAGCAGCGCAAAACAACAGATAAAAGTAAAAACAAAGACCTGGTTCCAGATGCAGGTGGTGGTGCACACCTGTAATCCCAGCACTCTGGGAGGCTGAGGCAGGAGGATAACAAGACGGAGCCCAGCCTGGGCCATTTAGCAACTTAGTGAGATCTTGTCTAGAAATAAAACAAAAGGGATAGAGGTTATAGCTCATCACGGAGGCCTTGGGTTCCATCCTCGGTAACAAAGCAAGACCTGATTGCAGTCCTTGTCCTACCGCTCTCTGGCCACACACCAAGGCTCTGATGCTCTGAGCCTCTGTTCCTCATCGCCAGGTGGGATAGTAGCACCTACCTCTCGGGACTGTGGTGCAGAGATACTAAGGTGATGTAAGGAAGTGGCCCCAGGGCTACTCGAATCTGCTAGTTTTCAAAGGAAGGCCGAAATCTGGATTTTTATATCATATTGCCAAATTGAAAATATTTCCTCAAATCCCTTCAAAACCGTGCAAGGGGCTGGGGGTGTAGTGCAGTGCTGAAGCACTTGCCTGGCATGTGCGAGGCCCTGAGTTCCATCCCAGGTGCCATTAAAGACAACTCCCCCAAATCCAAGGCTAGCCCATATGATTGTACCTGCTAATTCAGTTGGCCTGAGGGCAGCCACCTCAAGATCTCTCCCTGTTATCATCTGTCAGATCCTCAGGAGCAGGGAATCTACAGACTTCCCGTATATAACCTGATAGCAAATATTTAGGTTTTGCAGACCTCAAAGCAGCCATAGACAAGATGTTAGCAAATGGACGTAGTTGGGAACTCATAGAACTTTATTTATGGGCACTGTATTTGAACTGCGTTTTTACAAGTCATGAAATATTCTTGTGACTTTTCCCCCCAACCATTTAAACATGTAAAAGTCATTTTTAGCATGTGGGCTCCAGACAGACGGGCAGTTGAGATTTGGCCCACAGGCCTCTGCTCAGGAACAAACCCACCTGTCCTTAACCCGGTCCAGAGCACCCTGCCCACTTCCCGCACGGGGTCTGCTCTCCAGCTGCTGGGAGAGGCGCTTGCCTGCTCTCCCTGGCCCAGCAGGGACCCAGGCCTGGGTGCTCACCAAGGCTTTGGGAGCACGGTCCTCAGCTTCCACTCCCTCCCCTCTGCTTGCAGAAATCCTCGGGAGACTATAGCAACTTCGACCAGGAGTTTCTGAATGAGAAGCCACGCCTGTCTTACAGCGATAAGAACCTCATCGACTCCATGGACCAGACAGCATTCGCAGGCTTCTCCTTCGTGAATCCCAAGTTCGAGCGCCTCATGGAAGACTGAGGCGCGTGGACATGTCCTCCAAACCCCGGCGGGGAGCAGGTGGCTCCCCCTTGTCCGCACCTGCCGTGGCCCACCGAGCGGCAGTGTGACTGTCCTGACTTCTGCTGCTGCCTCCCTGTCCCCAGAGGGGCTCAGCCCTGCTGGCTGGGCTCTTATGGTACTTCCTCTGTGAACTGTGTGTGAATTTGCTTCCTCTGCCCCAGAGGGAAATTGTAAATCCTGTGTTTCATTACTTGAATGTAGTTATCTATTGAAAATACATATTATATATATACATATATATATATATATATAATAGGCTGTATATATTGCTCAGTAGAGAGAAAGCATGTGGGAGACTAGTGATGTGTTGATTTTTAAAATACAGATGGACATATATACACACATATATATGTATATATATCCAAAAGGGGAAAAAGGATCATAATCTGTTTGAACCACCAGGTTCTTTTATTTGTGTGTCTAAATAACTACTGACTGGTACCAACCTGGCTGTGGGACGTTTGTCCCAGGAAGCTAGTGGTGGCTGCTCCCATTTCTGGCAGCTTTGATGTATGGAAACCCACTGAGCTGCTGCAGGCTGACTCCTGGCCTTCGTGCACATGTGTTTGTAGTTATGGTTTCCTTTGGCCCCAGGGCCCGGGGCCTAAAGTGGAAGCTTTTCTCGAGGAGCTCCCCATGTCCCTGTATGGTGATCGGAGGAAGTGGGACCAGCACTGTCTCTCTCTCTGGAAACTGAGGGCCAGTCTTGGAAATGCACAGACTGGAAGGCCTGGCCTGCAGGCATGAGCAGAGGCTTAGGGCTGGGTGCAGCTCAGTGGCAGAGCATTTGCTTACCGTGCTCAAGGCCCTGGGTTCGGTCCCCAGCAACAGACACACACACTGAGAGGCTGGCCCCAAACTGGGCAGGAGGACCAGGCAGAGGAATGAGATACAATTCAGCATTTAGGCACAGCTGGATCAAAATCATTTGAGTGGCCAGAAGATGCGGGCATATCAATGATTTTAAGGGTCAGTGCCCTCAGTGCCCTCATCTGTAAAACGGAGACAAGGCAACCCCACACCTTGTTACTGTCTGTCCTTGCTTTGGCCAGGGAGGAGTCTGTCTGAGTTCTAGAATCTATTTTTCAGAACCCCTTGCCGATCTGGGGAAGAGGGGAAGGTAGGGTGGGAAAGGAGTGGGAGAAAATGCTGAGCACCTAGCCGCGGTGAGAAGTGTGCCCCGATGAGCCAGGTGCGGGACCCCGGCTCCAGCAAACAAAACGGGGAGCAGCCAGTGAGCGGGTGCAGCCAGGGAGTGCTGGTCCCTGCTGCTGCCCCCCGAGTTGCCATGCTGCTTCCCATCTCTCCCCTCTGCCCCTGTCTGTCCTTCTTCTGCTCCTGCCCCGCTGTCTGGGGTACAGGTCTAGGGCAGGGGCCTCCCTAGGCTCCTCTGGCCCAGCCAGCCCCAGCCCTTCGTTCCTGGAGGGGCACCAGGCACTGCTAGCACCTGATTGGCTATCCTGGCAGCCAAGCAGCTAACTGCCAGCAAGTTCATTCTGGGCTGAGGTACAGATTTCCTCGCTTGGAGAGGGCGGCATGGTGTGGGGCTGGGCTGACTGGAGAGGGGCTGCAGGGATGGAAGTCCTGTCTTCCGGAAACACTCTGACTCCTGCATGTGACTGGCCAGCCTTGAAAATATTGCAAATGACTGATACTCATCCCTCTGGGCTCATAAGTGGGGGGACAGCATAACAGGCTGTGCTCGGGACATTGGAATTATGTGCGTCCAGACGAGGTGCCTGGAGTCTCCTATCCCCTGCCTCAGCCGCAACATGCACAGGGCTCAAGAACGCCTATGGGGCCCCCCAAAATGGATGAAGAACAAAAATGGGATTGGCGTTTGTATTTGCTATCTCCCACCATCCTGCAGCTCCAAGGCAGAGCTTTGCATGCCGAGCTCACTTTCCATCTGTGTGGAATGGGGTCAGCGGCTCCGCCCACCCCAGTGGAGGGTGGTGGGAAGAATAGGATGCCTGGAATCAGAGCCTGGGGTTTCTGAGTTCTCTGCTACTCACAGCATGTGTCACCTTCATCAAACGTCAGTTTCCTCATCTGTAAAATGGGACCATTACTCCCTGCTGCCTTGTGGAGCTCCAGGCTCAGGGGCGCCACACAGGGCTGATCCTGTTTGCCCAATGGGTACTGGGCAAAGCCCAGGATAGAAGGCCTTGAAGAGGCCGAAGAAGCCTGGGATAGGGAAGCAGCTGTAGAGGACACTGTCAAGCTGCCTGGAAAGCTGTGCAGCTCCACATCTGTTCCCAGCCATTGGGTGGGCACCAAGCCTGACCCAGCAGCTTCAGGAAATTCCTCTTGTAGCTGGGCCCTTAGCCACACTTTCACTGGAAGCAGGCAGACTGCCCCTCACCTGCCAAGTGGAGGAGCTTGACCCCACTGCAAGAACCAGAGAGAGGAAAGCTCCCCGCCCAGTGCAGCAGGGCCTGGGGGTAGGAGCGCACGCTATGCTATCAAATCAGCCTGGGTTCAAATCTAGGTGTCCCTAGTGACATCAGTGAGTGACTTACCCTTCCTGAGCCCTGACTTCCCCTTCTGTAAAACGGGGAGGACCGTGCTACTGCCGGGAACTATGACAAAGCTTGCAAGTGCATATCACCAGCTTGGCACACAGTAGGCACTTAGTAAACAGAAGCTACTGTGGCCACACCCCTCAACAGGATGGAATATGCTCCTGCTATATTCCAGTCCCTCCTGCTGGACCACAGGAGGGCAACTAGCATCACCTACCCCACAGCCCAGCAGTCTCCTTCAGACAGAGCTACCAAGAACCTGGCCACAGCCCCGGGAGGACTGCCAGACCCCTGGCCAGCTTGGACTAATTGGGGAAAACTGGAAGCAAGCAGAGGGCTCGCCAGCTGGGGTGCTGGTTAAATACTTTCCTGGCAAATAAAGCCACGCAAGCCCAAGAGATCAGAAAAAAAGAGTAAGCCAGAAAAACACTAGTTCAGTGTGCCTGCACCCTGCGGCTCCATGTGCCAGGTTCTGGGGCACCCAGCGTCTGGGAGGACAGGGAAGGGTACAGAAGGAAAGATAAAGCGAGGGAATGAATGGATGTGCACTGGAACCCGACACCCAGGCTTTCCTCGCCTAATTACAGGGCGATCTCTGGAGAAGGCCCGTGCAACAGCATTTTGAAAGCTCTTCGGAGGTCCAACGCGCATCAAAAGGGACAGCCAGTTTGCCCAGGACGGTGAATCTGCGTACGGATCAATCTTCCTGCTAAAGCCGAGAAAGCCTGCTCCGAACAGATCACACCCTGGAAGAGAAGTCACCAACCAGAACTACCCAGCCTGTAGATAGGGGAGGCCCAACCCTAGCCACTGGAGCTCCGGCCTGCATGCAGATCGCAGGCGGAAGATTGAACGGTCCAGCGAGTGGGGCGGGGCGAAGCCGAGGCCGGGGCTGGGATACAGCGCCCTCTGGTGGCGGCCTGCTTGCAGGCTTGGGAAGGCTGCGGAACCACGGGGGTCAGGACTCCTGCGCGAGGGAGCGGGGCTCCTCACCCGCCTCATGTCCTCAGTCCTAAGCCAACAAGCTGATGCCGGAGAGCCATCCTTCGGGGGCCCAGAGACGCGAAAGTAACACTCCCACCCTGGTATTTGTTAGTGTCTCAGGGCTGCCCCCGAACCAGCGGGCATCTATCCCAACTGGCAGCCCCATGTCCCCAACGTAACCCTTATCGAGGTGGGAAACCGGTATGAGCTGGGAGGCGCCTGCTTTTACGGTCCAAGAACAGGAAACAAGGGTGCCTCCCGCATCCGCCAGGCGGGAGGCGCTGGGCGGGCTCCGGCAGCTCGCACTGCTGCCCTTCGGGCTGGGCGCCTGTGCAGCTCCACTCCCCTCTCCCCTAGGCAGGACGCACCCCTGGCTCGCTCCTGCACCCTACTGCTGCCCAGCCTCGGAGCGCTGCCCTGTAGCAGGTCAAAGACTGGAAAGCCGTTTTTGTTTTCCTCTGAGTCCTGATCACCCTCCCAGGCACTCTCTTACCTCCTGGAAGGACCGGGGAGAGGCACGCATCACAGAACCTGGTTTCCGAGGAAGGGAAGTGGACAGGATGTGGGCTCTCTCATCGTGCAGCTAGCTACACAGGAGGCTGAGGCAGGAGGATTACAAGTTCAAAGCCAGTTTGGGCTACACAGCCAGACCCCGACTCAGAAAGGTCTGGGATGCAGCTGAGTGGTAGAGCGCCCCTGGGTTTGCCACCTGAGGACCTTCCCCTTCGAAAAAGGAGGTAATGAGGACAAAGAAATCCTCCCAAAGAGGAAGCCAGCGCCAAGTCAGCAGGACGCAGAAAGAGCTGGACCTGTGATACTCCATGGGCTGCAGTGATTTAAGTCTTTGAACTTTAATGTCAGTCAAAGCCTGAGGATGGAATCCAGGGCCTTTCCACTGAGCTGCACGCTCAGCTTTTTTGTTTTTCAATTTATTTATTTATTTGGCTTTTTTCTGGTACCTGGAATCGAACTCACGACCTTGCGCTTGCCAGGCAGGCACTGTGTCGCTGAGCTAAATCCCCAGCCCTTCTTTTTCAATTTAAAACAATTCTATCAGTACCTGTTTGCAGCATGTAATAATTACATTCATCTTGGGGAGTTAGTCCATGTACGTATACCTCAACTCTATTTTTTGAGACAGGATCTTGCTAAATTGCCCAAGCTGGGATTGAATTTGTGAGTCTCTTGCCTCAGCTTCCCAGAGTGCTGGGATCACAGGTGTGCGCCAACCTCCCCAGCCCAAATCAGGATTCGTAAAGGAGCCTTAGAAGACCCCCGTTGTTCCTCTGTCCCTGCTGTGCAGTGCACAGCCTGAAGGCCCTGATGCCTGCTGCTAGCCCACGTTGAGTACTGTACACAGGCCGAGGCCCTTTGTGAAGGTACTTTCCACTTTCCTTTGCAAGGGGATCAGAGTTGAGCTTCCTGCTGACTTCACCTGGGATGGTGGGCTCATGGGCTGAGGGCGGTGGGCATGCTGGGTCCTATTCCAGAGTCCTTAGTTCCTTCCCAGAACAGGTGCCTGCCCTGGGCCAGGAGCTTCACAGGTGTTAGAGCTGCCACTCCACAAGCACCAGTGTGCGTGGCACTCCCTGTGTGGGCCCGAGAGCTCAGGACGGTGACGCTGTATCTCATACTGCATCGTGGCCTGTAATTAGTGCAGCAGTCCCTGAGGAAACGACTGTTACTCATCTTACAGTGAGCAAAACGAGATCCTGAGAGGCTAAGGAATTTCC